TGTTGCCTTTACATGTTCTAAATCACACTCAGATGCTTTCTTAACTTAGGAAAACTCAATATGACATCCTCTGAGCACCCCTTTCATAAAGGGAACACAACAAAGTATTTGCTAAGTTTCACAGCTGTGCTCCTGAATGCATACAAGGTAGGCTTAGAGCCTTTGTTTTTGTAACTGTGTCAGTTTGCTTTCTATTCTGGTATCATTATGCCTCCAGCGACAATCAATACCTTACCCTTCCTTATGGAGCTAATGCACATGCAAACAGGCAAAAACAAACACACCGAGCCTGCCGTGCATTTGTCCAATTGGGCAACCATTGTGAAGGGGAGTAAAATGCCTTCCTGAACCTTTGGCAAAGATTAGTGCATGCCCTGAAGTGGGAAATCAGAATTGCTTTTGTCTTTGCATTAAACTCTACAAACAACAAGGCTATGAGAAAAGGGACTGTGCTTGTGTTCTGTGAAATTCTGTCCATCAGGTTTCACTTTTGCAACAGGAAAAAACCAAGGCCGATGCACATTCAAAGTATTCTCAGGGGTCATAATGGAAGGTGAAAGTCCGCGTGAAATCTTGCGTCTTAAAGCTGAGTCAATTTTTCACTGTGTTTGATTTAAATGTTTTTAAAAAGGAGTGCTTTTAAGGAATAGAATGTTTGGCAAAATACACCAGCCCCTTTTCTATAAATAAACATTTGTTCAGTTTTTCAAGACTTGGCTTTTTAAGTACAGCAATTTTTTAAAATAACCCACCAGCTTTCGACGCTTTTCATTAACATTGCATGGTGTCAGTTTTTAAGGCTTGCAAGTCTTTTAAAAAAATATATTCTCCCACTGATTCATGGATTTTGTTCCAAACATAAAATAAACTAATGCAAAAATAGTAGAGAGCCGCATACTATTGTGTGGTGACATCATTACATCGCTGAGCATCAGTGCAGAGATCCCAAGAGGTCGGAACAGGAAACTGCATGTTGCGCTTGCACTTCTGCATTGTACTATATCGATCAACGCAGTGGACATGACCCCATTCAAAATACAGCTGAGCATGGGCAAAGACTCCCAGAAGCCAAATAAAATACAGAAAATGGCAGGCAGTTTTCAACAATGCAGAAAAATAGTTTGAACGTGGACGAGTAGTTAAGCTCAGCCAGAATTACTGAACAGTACTGATTTTATTTTTCCTTACAGAGGATCCCCACTTTTAATGTTGTATTTATATTGAGCAAGACACCATGATAATTTATTTTTTTTTTAAAGAGAGGCACAGACATTTTTAAACTAGGTTGAAAAATTCAGAGTTCTCTTACAAATTAACTCTAGTCAAAATAATTCTGGCCTCAATCCAGTCTAATCTCTCTACTTTTCTTCTTTTACTGTGCCCCATCCAACCACTCCTATCTTGCCTGATGAAGAGTTTTAGTGAACTTGAAAACTTGTGGCTTTTTGGTTGGCCCTAATAAAGGTATTATCCGACGGTAGTCTTAAGATTTTTATGATTATGAATTTCTCAAATAACACATATAATTCAAATAGGAACTCTGAGTAACCTCCTTTCTCAAGAGCAATGACTGGCACCTTTATTATTTGGTTTTCAGTGACAGTTAAAGATGTACTTTTTCATCAGCAGCTTGGGAGGAGGTTAACCGAGATGATACCAATGGCAAATTGATGTATCATTGCTGCATTGTATTTAGGTTGTGTTTCAATATTGGTTATAAATTGTACGTGTGAGGGTGGGTGTTGTTGTTTTTTAAAAAATATTGCTTTATTGTATTGATATTTGGACTGTAAACTGCCCTAGGATCATAACTGATGAAAGCTGGTTTAGAAATTGAACTAATAAATAAATAGAAAAAGAAGATACAGTTACTTTATTAAACATTAAACATTTACTCTTAATGACATTCTTCCCTGAATGACTCCCTGCAGCACAGAGAAATAAATTTCTAATTCAGGCACAAATAAATCATCAAAAGGAAATACCTTTCAGCTGCACTTGATAAGGAAACATATTTCTCACAGGGTATTAAGCTGTTTGTTTTTCCTATAAGGTTTTCAAATGAGCTAAGCTGAAAAGCAAATAGACTGATTTGCCCCAAAGAAGATCAAGCCAATCTACTTGATACCTTGCTGGGAATCGATCTGCAAAGACCACAGCATTAGCCCTTCCTGAGCACACTGGAAAGAGCTAGTCATCAGCTAGGAAATTTTGGTCACCCAGTTTCTTTTGGTTGCAAGCCTGCATTCCTACACCCCCTGGGAGGACCTTTCCGCCTAAGGAACATTCCCAGAGTTAAGAGCTCCAAAATCTGAATTTGATGTTGTCATTTTTTGGGAGAAAATTTCTGAGAGTTTCTTTTCTCCACCCCAAGGAAAATGTCACAGAATTCTATATGCGTGTTCTCCAATTTATTATTATTATTAATTATTATTACTTGTATTGTTTGGTTACAGTTTGCCCCAGAGTGATGTTAGGACTGGGATGTTGAAAGATGTTAGTCAGACTGCCCAAACTTTGCCTGCTGCTCCCATAGCTACTTCTCTCTTCTAATGGGCAGCGCTATACCCCTGGAGAGGGATGTGGTTGGCGCTGTGGGTTAAACCACTAAGCCTAGGACTTGGCGATCAGAAGGTCGGCAGTTCAAATCCCCGCGACGGGGTGAGCTCCTGTTGCTCAGTCCCTGCTCCTGCCAACCTAGCAGTTCGAAAGCACGTCAAAGTGCAAGTAGATAAATAGGTACCGCTCCGGCAGGAAGGTAAACAGTGTTTCCGTGCGCTGCTGTGGTTCGCCAGAAGCGGCTTAGTCATGCTGGCCACATGAACCAAAAGCTGTACGCCGGCTCCCTCGGCCAATAAAGCAAGATGAGCGCCACAACCCCAGAGTCAGTCATGACTGGACCTAATGGTCAGGGGTCCCTTTACCTTTATCTTTATACCCCTGGAAACATAGAACGCTGCCTTATACTCAGTCAGACCAATGGCTTGTTTTTCTCAACACGGTCCACACTGACTGGTGATGGGTTTCCAGGCAGATGCCCTGGCCCTGAACTACAGCCCTTCCTCAAAGGTAAGAAACAGTTTGAGAACTCCTTCTCTGAAGAAAACGGATGAACTAGTCACCCCCAAGTTCTCTGCTAACAAATAAGATGGAGAATTTGAAAAGCCCATCTGCATACTGTATCCACACCTCAGTGCTGATGTGCTGGTGTCCTGAATTCATCTTTCCAGGCTAACGTACATTAGACTCATCTATTCGTGAGAGATTTGCTTTTGATTTGGATTCCCTTACAAGCCCTGTCAATCATAGATGACATGTGAGGACACCACTGTTAGCATTGTGCATTCACATCAGTAGGTCTTGTCTTTCAGCGTTTATATCTACACTGCCGTTACTCAATAATTTAACATAAATGCTAGCTTCTTCTGCTCATACCGTAACATTTGCATTTGTTTTATTGGTACATAATGTAATCAGACAACCTCTTTAGCTCACTACTAGATACTGCACATGGGAGCAACAATATTATAAAGCCCACTCTTTCGTCAAGTCCATTTTTCATTAGTGTATGTGGCAGGTCTCTACTTCCTTACAGGCACCCTAGCACCCACCAACCAAAAACAACTACTCGCCAGAAGCAACAGGTCATACAGCAGACAGACACAGACACATAGGAACTAATGCCTTCGTTCATTCCCACAAGGGCAGAAAAAAACCTTGCATTGACAATATCAGGGGATGGAGTGGAAACAGAAGCCCATCTCCCATGGGATTGCCCATGCACTGGGTGGCTTTTAATCCACACACTTTAGTTTTTGCTTGCTGGGGGCTTTCCCACATCCCAATAGCAGCTAAAGGAACCATTCATTGCTAGTGGTGCAGATGGGAAAAATAATTTTGGGTGTGATATTGGAGGGTAGAGGCTGAAGGCCATCTCTCCTCTGGGTGACCTGTGACATTTTGGTTACAGTGGTACCTCAGGTTACAAACGCTTCTGGTTACAAACACTTTGGGTTACAAACTCCACTAACCAGGAAGTAGTACCTCGGGATGCGAACTTTGCCCCAGGATGAGAATGGAAATTGAGCAGCGGGAGGCCCCATTAGCAAAAGGTTAAGAATGGTTTCGGGTTAAGAACGGACCTCTGGAACGAATTAAGTTTGTAACCCAAGGTACCACTTTATTCCATTATTTTAATTTGCTCCCACAGGTGTTTTTACCCATAGGAGCTAATGCAGCCATTCACTCCCTTGGGGTGGGAAAAAGACCATGTGTGAGCAAAATCAGAGGGTGAAAACTGAAGGCACGTCAATGCATGGCTTTCAGCCCTCGCTCTCTAATTTCATCCATGCAAGGCCTCAAGTGCACCGAACTTTGCTTTACTTCTGAAACTGGAACTTTTTGGGGAAACAGCCCTGGATTTGGAACACAGACAAGCTGGACAAATGTGTATTCTGAACCAAGTAATAATGAACTTCAGCAACATCACCAACTTTCAGGCTTTTTCTGTTTTTCTTCACAAGTTCTTTTTCTCCTCAAGCCTCTTTGTACAGCATCAGTGTTATAAATCCTCTTGTAATAGAAAAATAAGTTCCTATGTTACTATTTACAAAAAGCACAAAGCCAGGATAACTATATATATATATATATATATATATATATATATATATATATATATCAATTCAACCTTAAATATAATTTTATCATTTTATTGTTGCATTTAAATATAAAGAAGTTGATGTTTTATTGTCAGGACTATATATTTTATTCTGCCTTTTCTACCTTTAAAATGAAATGTCTTCAGGTGTCCTGAGATAAATATATTCATAACCCCCCCCAGGCTTCTTGCAAATGCTTCCCATTGTCTCAAATCTTTCCTCAATCTTTTCATTTAGATATTGTGCCCAATTTGTATAGTTAACAACATCAGGCGCATTGTCCTCTCAATGCAAGTACCCTGCTCTGATTAATCCTAATGGAAATTAGATGTACACTGTGTATGGCACAAATGTGATAGAAACCATTGTGAAGAACTGAAAGAAATGAGCCTTTCATTTTGACAAGGAAATAAAAAGATAAATGAACATTTGTATCGCTCTGTGTGTGTGTGTGTGTGTGTGTGTGTGTGTGTGTGTGTCGCCCTGTTTCATTAGCTCACTGTTCCATTTCAGCTATGGGAAAGTTGGAAACACATTGCATGAAAGAAAGAAAACGTAAAGGTAAACTTTTTCAGGATTATATGAATACAGCAGTAAGAAACTTGGGGAAGGGCCATAGCTATCTGCCTTGCATGCAAAAGGTCCCAAATTCAGTCCTTGGCATCTCCAGGTTGGGCTTTTGTCTGAATCCCTAGAAACCCTTTGCAGTAAAAGGAGACAATGTAGGGATCTGTTGGGGCTCACTGCGGCTGCAGATGTGCTTCCAAAAGTGCGGCCCGGTTTCCAGGGTGCATCTACTGGTGTGGCCGATCTTCGTGGAGGCCTTGCAGTGGTCCGCGGAGGCCTTGGCCTTGTTGCTGCGGTGATGGCAGGTGTAGGGCAGCAGAGCCCACATCTTCAGGAAGAGGCCTCTGCCCATAGCCCGATGAGCAGAGGCACCCACAGCCCTGTGGATATGGTGCCTATGTCTGGGGCCCCCAGATATTGTGCCTATGCATACATTAAAACCAGCATAAAGGTAAAGGGACCCCTGACCATTAGGTCCAGTCATGGCTGACTCTGGGGTTGTGGCGCTCATCTTGCTTTATTGGCCGAGGGAGCCGGCGTACAGCTTCCGGGTCATGTGGCCAGCATGACTAAGCCGCTTCTGGCGAACCAGAGCAGCGCACAGAAACGCCGTTTACCTTCCTGCTGGAGCGGTACCTATTGATCTACTTGCACTTTGACATGCTTTCGAACTGCTAGGTTGGCAGGAGCAGAGACCGAGCAATGGGAGCTCACCCCGTTGCGGGGATTCGAACCACCGACCTTCTGATCAGCAAGTCCTAGGCTCTGTGGTTTAACCCACAGCGCCACCCACGTCCCAGCATAAGGCAACACAAAACAATTCAAAAGACAGCCATATTTTCTAAAAGCAGAATAAAACACCCACTCAAGGAGACCATAGATAATTAACAGCCAAAGAAGTGGTGGAAAAGAAATGTTTTTGGATTGACTGAGTGTCCCTAGGGAGAAACCACTGGGCCTCTTGGGCTTGCTGATCAGAAGGTTCGCAGTTCAAATCCACGCATTGGGGTGAGCTCCTGTTGCTCTGTCCCAGCTCCTGCCAACCTAGCAGTTCAAAAGCACAACAGTACAATTAGATAAATCGGTACCGCTGTGGCAGGAAGGTAAACGGCATTTCTGTGCGCTCTGGTTTCCTCCAGAAGCGGTTAGTCATGCTGGCCACATGAGCCAGAAAGCTGTCTGTGGACAAATGCCGGCTCCCTCGGCCTGAAAGCGAGATGAGTGCTGCAACCCTGTAGTCGCCTTTGACTGGACTTAACCGTCCAGGGGTCCTTTACCTTTATGTTGTTTTACCCTAGGGAGAACATTACACAAGCAGAGAGCCACCACTGACAAGGCCCTTTCTCATGTTGCTACCATCTAGAACGCCTGTGGTGGGGGCACATGGAGGAGGATCGGTTCATGGGGGGAGGCAGTCCTTGAGGTATTGAGTCCCTTAGCTACCTAAGGCTTTACAGGTCAAAGCCAGCAGTTTGAATTGGGGCTGGATTGTGCTCCGACCGTCTTGCCCTTATGAGTAACCTGGCTGCTGAATCTGCATCAGCTGCAGTTTCTGAACCGTCTTCAAAGGTACACTGTGCAACACATAGCACATGGTGTAATGTTGCATTATGTTATGTGTTTAAAGGGGGGGGCACACCATATTTTGAGTACAGTGGTACCTCAGGTTACATACGCTTCAGGTTACAGACCCTTCAGGTTACAGACTCTGCTAACCCAGAAATAGTACCTCGGGTTAAGAACTTTGCTTCAGGATGAGAACAGAAATCCTGCTCTGTTGGCGCGGCGGCAGCGGGAGGCCCCATTAGCTAAAGTGGTGCTTCAGTTTAAAAACAGTTTCATGTTAAGAACCGACCTCCGGAACGAATTAAGTACTTAACCCGAGGTACCACTGTACTTTGTAGCATAAAATAAGGTAAGTAGCAGAGCCCCCGTTTCCCCAGAATAGGGAAAAGAGCAGTGAACTTTGGTCCAATCCTGCTTTCTTTGAAGGCATGCTTGGTTCACACCCTCAAATGGTTGGGGGGGTGGCAGCCATCAAAGTTTCAGCCCAGTAGCTGTGTACCTGCTTGTTTGCTCCTATCACTTGTGGCTTCAGCATTTCTGTGAAAAGGCAAGTTAGAAAGTGTACATGGCAGGAAACCTGGGCAAAACGCAACCCCAGACTTCGTGAGAATGGCAGCTTAATGACTTCTGCTTTTGACAACCCTGTTATTTGGTGGATATGCTTAATAACATCACTCTGAGTTCCCGTCAGAAAACCAATTTAGCAGATTTATTAGTTTGAAGAGGCATGCTAAATAGTTATGCAAAAACCACTCAGTACAGATTAATTAGAGGCTTTATCGTACCGGGTTCCCTCCCAGTGCCGAAAGCAGCATGATAGGAATCACACACTGCTGTGAGAAGCGTGAAAAAGTCCCAGCAAATTCTGCGAACGTGCTGGTGAAAGTAGTAAAAATATCTCCTGTCTGTGACTTTGTTCCCTCACCTAGCCCACTGCAAGAGAGGGGCTTCAATTATATAAGAGCTGAGGAAACTTTAGGGAGAAAACGTTTGACAGAATTGTGAAGAGGAGCGTGTGACTGGATAGTTTCCTATTCAGGGTCTACATGCCTAGGCTTGTGTCTCCTGCTTCCTTCAGAAATGAATTCAGAACATCACAGTTGTGTGTGTAGTAATGGACAGTAATATTGGAGGGTCTGTCTCGCTCTAGCTCCATTCATATATATGACACTTTGAGCTTTAACAGGGTGGATAGGATAAGGATGGAGAGATGAGTCGATTTCCAGTCTGCATCTGTTTCACATAGGTTCATACACATAGATCCATTCCTTCCCATTTCCACATTAATCTGTGATCTTTAAAAACACATCCATGGAAATTCCCATTATTTTTTGGACCTATTTCCCCTACAAAAACACACATTTTGGGTATGCATTTTACCCTAAAAAAGATGGAATTTTTTTTAAACGCACATTTTTGGGTGAAGCTCATTTAGCTAATTGTGTATATATGGAAAAGTATGAAAATGGAAGGATAACTATTCTGATCTGTCTCCTAGTAATGCAGCAATAAAACTGCTAGCACATTTGCAAAGCTAAGCAATGTCTGGTATGGTTTCAAATTGGATAGGGAACTGGGTGTTGAGATTCCTGCATTGTAGGGGTAGGACTAATGACCCTCAGGGTCCCTTCCAACTCCACAATTCTACGACTCTGATTCTAACTATGAATCAGGTCTGTTTGTCGAAAAAATGCAGACCAAAGCACCCAGCATGACTAGGAGAGCAGAGGATGATAGGGGGAACAAGGGAGATTCAGTTGTGTGTTTTACGAGTGTTCTACCACTCCTGTTATGCCCTGCAGAGGACCTTAAGGTCCATGAATAATCATAATTTAGTGGTCCCGGGCCCTAGGGAAGTCAGATTATCCTCCACCAGGGCCAGGGCCTTCTCAGTGATGGCTCCGACCTGGTGGAATGCTCTGTCCCATAAGACCCATGAGACTGTTTTTTGTTGCATCAATTAAGTGTTTTAAATTTGTTGTTAGCCACCCTGAGCCCGGTATTCTGAACCGGGAAGGGCAGGATATAAATAAAATGTTTTTTATTCTTATTCTTATTCTTATTCTTATTCTTATTCTTATTCTTTTATTCTTATTCTTAGGTTAATAGTGTAATCCATACTCCCACCTGCCAATAGCAGGTTTTGTGGATTGGCAGAGCTACTGCTATATCTGTGGCCTGGTTGCTCATGGTGGTAGAAGGTGGTGGTGGAGTGGCAGGAAGATGGGACTGACCCCTGCACTAGCTCCATGGTGGGTTTGGATCAAGCCCAACAGCATCTTGCAATGGCAACAAGGTCAGAGCAGGAACCAGGAGATCCTGGCCTGACTTAGCCCTGTCCCCAACCTGGGAAAGGCCCATTTAAGGACTTTCCACAGGCCTCGCCAACAGGGATATTGCTAGCGGGCAGTCTACCTGTCTACATGTTCAGTGCCTGCAGGAAGCTAGCTCAGCTGGCAAAGCGGAGTCGGAGGACGTCTCCACTCAACTCACCCGCCTGCTCATCACAGCCCAACACAAAGAAGATGGTCTGGAGTGCTTGGAAGAGATGAATATCTGGGCTACAGTTTGAATGGATATGTGGTAAGAGGTTCTTTGTGATGTTTTTTTAGGCACATAGGTCCTGTGAGAGAGAAAAAATATATTGAAGAATCAGAATTATGGGATAGACCTCTTCCCCCCAGGTCCTATTGAACACATGGATTTGAAAAGAGATACAGAGATGAAACTTCGCTTACCTTGGTCTTATGTCATTCAAAGTTCCAGGTCACTAGTTAGTGAGATGTATTCCGGAAAATGTTCAGAACATGCTCAATGTGGTATTGTGGCAGAAGCTGCACTGCCCAGAATGAAAATTAATCTCTGGCTGATTCTCATCCATTTTATGTTTTAAAGACTTCAGTAAATTTTAATAAATTATATTTCATTGCTTTTCTTGGGACAGGAAACATGAATGCTGACCTTAAGGAAAATGAAAATTTAATATCTCCTCTATGGGAACGTTTGATTTTATTAGATATTGCTGTTTCACTGCCCATCACATTAGCATATTAATGGCTGTGTATTTTAGGAATGCCAAAATAAGGTTCTCTGTGCTGTACAAGATAATGTAAGACATTTAAGATAGAGGATTATCTGTTTTTTGCAGTCACTCCAGGTACTATATAGCATGTGACCTCATTTTAGGTCCACAGTTGTGACACGCAAGTTACCTTGAATAACCCCCCCCCCCCAGTTATATTGCTAGCTTTCCAAGTCACACAAATGACTGTGAAGTAAAAACACAATGGAACTATTCCAAAAATCACACTCTGAGCCCAATTCATAGGACCTACATTGCTTTTTTTTTAAAGAGAGATTTATTTCCCCAAATTCTCCTTTCTT